GGTTCTTTCTATGTACTTGCAGTAAAACAAAGATCCATGCGGCTTATCCACAAATACTAAAACCCAAAGGAGAACCATCTTTATATTCTTTTCACTCCATTACCCAATGGCTACAGAACGTAATCAGCCTTTCTCCTGAAACTTTTATAGACACAGGTATACTTATATCTTGCCTTTTCTATGTGTATTGCTACTAAGTATCTTTTGTATCTCACACTATAGCCTTGTCCATAGATACACCCATCACTCGTTTTGAAAGCATACCAGTAGTGCAACCGTGGTGTTTTGTTCTTTTCTGTTCAAATAGAACCAAACAAGTTAGTAAATCAAAAATATTTTTTCGATTGCTTGTTCCTCGCATAATAAAATTTTCTCTGTGGGGCTTTTCCTCTATAGGAAATCTCAGCTACTCTATTTGATTCAATTGGATTCCAAGATGACATAACAATTAAATTATATAATGGCATTCACTCCTGGAACATAAGAATCAAGGATAGATGTTTTGAGGAATGTTGGGAATTGTACTGTAACGGTAATTTGATTCGTGAGAATGACATGGTCTTCTTGAGAATCAAGGGTAATTTATCCTATGATTCCATGGCTTTCTGTACTTCAGAGTCCTGTGATGGACGCTTCTTTTGCCTATGTTCCCAAGCATTACACCCAATGTTGAAGGTTGTGATTTCTTGTTCAGACAGTAGCCTAACTTATGTACTATCACCTCCTTCATAAATCAATTCCTAAAGCACGATTGCGCATCCTTTGTTTCTTTCTATCAGTTTTATACACATTGTTCTAAGTACAGCTTGGTAAGTACTTTCCTCTATACAATTTGTTATGGGCTTCATTCTTTCGTGACCTAACTAACAATGGATGCTCTTTGGTGAATAGGTCCTTCCGCAATATGCTAACCATCGACTACATGAAGACACGACACCAACAGTAATTCTTACATGCGGCTATAAAACCTATTACATTGGTATGAAACTTTCGACAAGATTTGGGCCATTATCTCCGTCGAACATGCTCTTCACCCTGGCGACATATTGCTTTTTATTTCACAATCACCCGTCTCTTTTGCTGTTATCGTATTCAAGAGAAAAGGCACTAAAAAACTGTATCCATGGCATTTTAATTTCACTATTCATCTAAATTAGTCATACTAACATATTAAGAACTGAGATAATCTCTAACAAGAAGTTGTAGTGGATAAGTACTAGAACTAGGCTCTATATCACTTTCGATTATGTATCTTGTTGCTCTGTTCAGTTCAGTGCTTTCCTTATATGAAACTTTTTCGACTATGTATCTTGCTCTGTTCGGCGCCGAAATACATAAATGTCCTCAGTTATATCCTCCCCCCAGTATTTTCCCTTGGCATCATATGCTTGTCTGGGTATTTTCTGTTTCCATGCTACTGCGCACCGTGTGGTTTAGTATAACAAGGCCTAGAAATTTTGTTGAGGGGGATAAATTGATACACCATAATGCACTTGAGTTGTTGCTAAAATGCATGTGGTCGGAATTATTGGGCAAATCATCAAAATATAAGTGTTCGAAGGTGGTTTACCACGGATGTAAATAGAATGTTGATACGTTATTTTATCGTAGAGCTTTTTTTTTTCCCTTTACCCCCTTTCTTTGCGGTTGTTGTTGACAATGAAAGGCACCAATAGAAAGGTATTTCAATTTATAAACTTATATTAGCAGGTTAATTTTGAGCTCATGGGCAAAAAGAAGGGAAAATTGAGGAAGAAATGGTTGACTATAACAAGTCAATAATATTCATATAGTTCAGTCTACATTAATTCCAAGATGTCATCATTTTCTTTAATCTTCTTCTCTCTTCTTTTCAACTTTTGGTTTTTCCATCTATTGGCTTTTTGCTTCGGCGATGGGCATGGTAAATAAGACCAGGCTTTTGATTAAATATCTCTACAAAAAGTCTCACCAAATGCAATCTAAATGGGTCTTATATGGGGCTGAAATCAGAATACTAATACCACATCTAGATTCTATTAGTTTCATGGCCCCTCCATCTCCAATTGGAGAAGTAAAAGTAATTTTTTTGGTTGGGTCTCGCTTAGCCCAAAATGCATATTCTTTAACGTGTTTGGATACAGTTAAACATCTTGTTTTAAATGTGTATAAACCTATATTAAAGAGAGTTAAATTCCACTTACCTCATATAAGATTCAATATAATTATTAAAATCTCTTATCCAATTTCTATAATTCCCTCTCCCCCCTCTCCACAACTAGGATAGCCACAATTCAGATTAAATTGAGAGTGGACCAGCGATTTATTCAATCGGAATCAGAACCACAACCATGACTAAAAATTCAAAGTCCAGGTTCATTAAAAATATGAATCAGAATCGGAAATGGTAGTATGTAACCAATTCAAACCCTCAAAAAAAAAAATATTTGCTATTTAAATTTATTTGGCTAGTTTAGAGTTCAATATCAATAGTCAGCGCCTGATACTAACAGACTCAATCCTATCCGAGCAAGCCATTGTTCCATTTCATTAGTAAGTCTAGATCCCTTAGCTAACCCAAATCAGAGATCATTACAATCTAATCAATAATGAGGTATTCTTTATAAAATTTGCATTATTTTTCTTTTTTCTTACACTTGATAATGCAATAAAGTTCTCAATTTTTGCTACATTCATTGTCATATTTTTTAAAATCTATTTTATAATAATAAGTGTTTAAGTATAACTAAAAAAATCAAAATTGTAACCCAAAAGAATTGGAACTGCAACTGGAGCAAAATTAGAACCGAAACCGAAGGTTCATGAATCATGATCACAACTGTAACGGTTTCTAGAAGGGCAGGTTCTGGTTCCACTTTTCGAAAGAATTGGAACCATCAATCTTTAAATCGGAACTGGCAGTTTTGGAATCGTGGGGGTGGCAATGGGGCAGGGGTGGGGCGGGGGACATCTCCCCCAACCCCTGCCCCGTTGCATTTTAATTCCTCCCGCGCCCGCCCCGTCCCCCACCCCCGGCTTCCCCTTCCCAGCCCCGCTTCCCCCTACGGGTGCCCCCATAGGGTTAAAAAAATTTTATTATATAATTTCATGATAATGAAATTTGAGCAAATAATCAAGTGCTAAAATATCAACACATCTCCAAATTATTATTTATTGTAACTTCACAATTGAAACTCATAAAAATAATTAAACAAAGGCTATTTGAATACAATCTAATATGATTAAACAAATATAACTAAAATAATCAAGTTTTCACTTTTAATATAAAATACAATCACTAAATTATTATTGTGTTTTTTTTAGAAAAAAGTGTTATTAACATATATAGTAAATGTGTGAATGCAATTGCCCCAATTGAACCCAATTGCTGATGTGGCGCTCTCCCATTGGTTGATTGGTGGTAGTCCTCCAATTGATTCCAATTTGATGAGTTGTCGTCCTCTGATTCGTTGATTGGTGGTAGTCCTCCCAATTGCACATGAAAATGGTGATGTGGCGAGTTTTGATTGGATGGGAGGTGGTAGTTTTCTAATTGCATGCAGGATTGTGCTAAAATTTAGCCTTTTCTTCCCTTTCCCAACAATAAATTGTGTTAACAAAAAATTGGTATCCCAATTATTCACAATTATCAATGTTTTTTTTGGTTGCCAAATAAATCATAATTATTAATTATTATTTTTTATTTATTGTAATAATTGCTTATGTTATGCTCTAATTGTATTAATTATTATTATGTTATCTTTTTTGTAATTGCTTTTGTTATGCTCCAATTGTGAAAAATTTACTCTTTATTTGATTTTTTTCCAACGACAACCTAGCTAATCTCATTGAAAAAAATTGGTGCTCTTTATTTTTGTTTTTTTGGAATGAGAGGGGAAGACATTCAACTATTATTATCAAATTTCCACGATAATCTTTATTTAGTATTAATTCTATGTAAACAATCAACAATGTGGTGCCCTTCCATTAGTGTCATTTATTATTTGGTCACGCCACACACCATGTTTAATTATAGATTCCCCACTATTATTTGTTATAATTATTTATATATTTACTTTTTATTTGGGTTCCATTTTTCGGTTACCCAATAAATCACATTTAATTACCAAAATTTTACAATTCATTGTTAATAACTAATTAATAGTGTTATTTTTTTACCTAACAAATCACATTTAATTAATAACTTTTTTGCAATTATTAACAAAAATTTTGGCTTCTTTTTTGTGTTTGCCCCAAAAAACACATTTAATTACAATTTTTTTTTCAAATTTTATAAAAAATGTTCTCTTTTATTTTGGGTTGCCCAACAAATCAAGTTTAATTATCAATTTTTTGAAATTAATTTTTAATTAATTAAGTAATAATTTCGCAATTTTATTGCCTGACAAATCACATTTAATTATCAGCCTTTTATAATTATTAATATTGTTTTGGTTACCCAACAAATCGCATTTAATTATCAATTATGTGTAGTTATTAGCCAAAATTTAGCCTCTTTTTTTTGGTTGCCAATCAAATCACATTTGGTTGTCCTTTTTAACAATTAATTGATAATTAATTAATTAATATTGTTACTTTTTTGTTGCCTAACAAATCACAATTAATTACCAAATTGTTGCAATTAGTTGTTAGTTAATTAATCTACCTTGCTCCACCTTGAGAAAAACGCTTCCCTTTAGTCTCTTTCTTTCCCCCCCCCCCCAATACCGATGTGGGATAGAAACCCACAGGCTTCCCTTTAGTCTCATTGTCCCATTTTTTTTTTTCACTTTTCTGAATAAACATGTGGTGGGTAGACTTCCTCTCTCTGTAACAGCTTTTTCTGGTGGGATTTGACGGGGGGTTGGGCTCAATGCATCAAAAGTCTCATCTTTCCCTCTTTGTTCATCGACCGTCACTCTCTAAACCTCTTAGAACAACTCTCTCTCTTCTTCTTCATCTTCCCGCCTCTCTCTGAGAACAACAACGAGCAAGATGGTTTTCTTCATCTTCCCGCCTCTCTCATCTTCTTAGAGAGGCTCTTTGTTTTAAAGTTCTTCCCTCCCTGCCAAAACTTATTTAGCCCTTTATTTTTTTAAATTTTTTATTTGTCTAATATACATAAATTTCTGATCTTGCAGGTGAAATATTACAAATTTCCTCCAACACTTTTATTAGATTTTGTAAGTTTTTGTTGATCCCTTATTAAAAACAGGTTCTATATGGTTAAATGTGCTTTGCTGCATCCTTCATTTTCTATTACTGACTTATTCTTGTTTTTCTTGCCATATGCATATCTCGATTTTTCCCATGGCTATGAAGCATCAAAACACATGTAAGAAATTTGAGAAATTTTTTCCCTAATGCCTTCTAATGTTATGGGTCGAAATAATAGAACTATGTCTGCAGTTTGTCTTGCCTATGCCTTATTCACATATCTTGCTCCAAGAAGATTGTCACCCTGCTTCATTGCTATTCTATAAATGGTTATATGTAGGTAAATCGCTACTCTATTTAAGATTGGAGAGGTCTTCTATTTAAGATTTTTTCCCATGAGTGCAAATGTGTAATCTTTGTCATGGTGCAGGGTTTTTACCATAATATTTTGATTGGTTTATTTGTTTAGACAAAAGAAAAAGTGTGAGGTTGAATATTATATAGGTGCAGTCTTCCGATGAGTTTTTCCCTTCAACCTTCTGTTTTATCAAAATACCAGATTTTGAACAAATGTCATGAATCAGAAATGTCTATGCTCAATTATAGACTGATATGTGAAAGTCGGCTCTAATAATTTGAAATTCACTCCTTTAATTCATTAGTGAACAGTTTGATAATAGTAGCCTTCCTACCTTTTATCATGCAACTTATTTTAGACGGGTTTTCCTTCTGGGTTTATATTGTGTATGGCATTTTTAGCAATTAAAGGATTATTATATGACTAATTAAGATGTTAACAGGTTAGACAAAATAAGTTAGAGCGAGACTAATTGGCAGTGGAGTGAGAGGAGTCTTAACATGGGAAAGAACAAGTATAGAAGACATGTTAAAGATTTGTCAATTGACAGAGCAACTTTGTATGAACTTCAACTAGATGCTGCCTAAGGTATATGTAATTTGGTGATAAAACACTGCATTCTGCTGAATTATTTTGGTGGTTCTTGATTCTCATTTTGCAGAATTTAACTAGTGAACTCTACCACAAATCCTTGGAAGATGCTGCTAAGATATAATTGCTCATTATCTTTCATTTGCTAATCACTGGATAACATTTTGTTCCATGTGTGTTTCTTGTATTAGGAACAAAAAGAGGTTTACTTGAAATATCACACCTAGATAATCAGTTATTACAAAAATGCCTGGTCTGTGTGTCTATCTATTTTTTGCATATGATGTTTTGACTTGGACAAAAGATTGAAATGTTTAGTCCAGATTATTATAGACCAATGGTGAAGTATGTATATGTGTGTGTATAAAAGACTATTACATGTGGTGAGTTTATTCCTAGCATGTGTTTAGAGACCATTAACAGGTATAAGATTAGGAAATTATGGCTGCATATTTGCTCAATCCAGCAGTTTTGCTAGAGAAGTTTTGCTCAGTTATACTTGGCTTAGTGTCTTTAGATCTCGACATATTACTGTTGCTTGGGAAAATATTTTTGCTTTAGGAATCAGGGTTTTTTTATTGCCTTGAAGACTGCAGGGTGTAAAAAACATTTACTCATGTTGATATATTCACCAAGATTTATTATGGCTATAGCACAACGTATGGTAGCACAGGCGTGATGTGGATATGATTTGCTTCAAACAAGCAAATTTTTGTTTGGGAAAAAATCATATGATTTGCTTTAGTATTTCTATTTAACATGTATTTGCATTATATATGTTGACTTTTTTTTTGAGATTTTAATATTTTAGGTTCCAATCTTGGTCCTTTATGTTTTGCATTGCTGGTTAAGCAGAACCACCCAAAAGAAAGAAGAGGTTTGGCTGGTTGAAATTCATCATATGTGGAATTTGATAGTTTTCTTTGATGAAAAAATCTGGATTTGTTTTTTCTTTTCCTTTTTCCGGTTTTTTTAGTTGGCTTTTTCTTTAATTTTGGTTTCTTAATCAATTTGGATGTGAAACTTTGGAAATGCATTCAGATGTTTAGTGCTTAATGCCTATTTATGGTTTGGCAAACACAAGTTCTTTGCTTCCTGCTAATCCTCAGGCTTTTGTTGCTATTGTTTTGTTTCGTATTGTAGTTTCACACACCCTATGCTAGATTTGGTGGTCTAACATATTAATTATAATTATCTTTTATGCTCTAATATGTTCCAAATGTTTATTACAAGATATTAAGATATGCAACAAAGGATTGGAGAAATTCTTTTCTCAAAGTGCACATTATTTAGACTCTCTGTTTTTTCCCCTGGAAAAAAGTTAATCTAATTTGATTTTGTCTTTTCTTTTTCCTAATTAATTTGATTTTTTCTGCATTTGTTTGTTCTATATTATTTCTAGATAAAGGAACAAGGAAAAAGGAGGCTACTTTTCTCCATTCAACCATGAATGTGTGTTTTAATGTTTTTGTGTTCTCTTCATTCCCCCCTCTTCCTCCTTAGTAGTTTATTGTAATTTTTTTCTCGCTTTGCCCTATTTATTGGTCTTGAAAAAAGTGGAGGATGATTGTTTGGGAAGGTTATCCTATTTCCTCTAGATTTAAAGTTAGTAGATTACCTATTTCGTTTTTATTTTTTATGTTTTTCTCTCTCTCGTATTTTTTGCATCATATTGAAGCATTCCTTGAAACTGCAAAATGGATTGTAGGAATTAAAAGATTAACCTCCAAGTGAAACTTCATATATAGGGGAATATCTAACTTTTTTGCTAGCAATACAAAATAAAAAACAATTGGTTGTGACCAGATTATCTTTGCATTTTATCCCTTGGTAAGTGTTTAGTTGTAAAACAAGACATTGTACTGATGTTGGAATCTTATTGATTTTGTGTAAGTATGACTAAATATAATGTATATTGATGATATCTTGGCGATGAATACTCTTTCTTAGCTCTTTTTGATGAATCTCCTCACTACAAGAAAATTGCGTTTCTGTGACAGGCAAAAGTCGTCACTAAAAATTCAGAAGTCGTCACAAAAAAAGTCAGTGACGACTTTTACTGCTGTCATAGAGCTGTCACTAGTTCTATGTCACAAAAGGGGGTCCATGTGACGACTGTTGAAAGTCGTCACAAACGATTTCGCTTTTGTGATGACTCTTGTCGTCACTCATTGTTGTACATTGTGTGACGACTTTTATTGTCACTAAGCTGGCTAAATTCTTGTCATAGTCAACCCTTGGAGTTGTCACATTATGCTTCCGTTCAGTGACGACTTTTGTTGTCATTGTTTTCCATCCATAAAAAGTGACGACTTTCTGGTGTCACTAGTGAAACTTGTTGGCAGTGACAACTTTTTTATTGTCATTTATTTTTTTGTAAAAAGCAATAATCTAATGTTAATTACGCAACATATCTGCCAACAATCACAAAACGTTCATTGAGTAGCAAGGAGAAAAAAAAAGCCAACATACGAAAAGAAAGCCAACATTCATTTCCAATAGAAGATCAACCCAAATACATATATATATAAATGTTGCCTCAAATGAGTCATAAACCATGCACCATCCAAAATAAGCCATTCAGTTACAATACTAGTGATTTCCCATCCACAATAGAGAGTAGTAAAGTTCTATACAAAAATATGAGCACGATTCTCATCTAGAACAAAACATGAGCACGATAGGCCTTGTAGTCTTCAATTCAAAAACCATCTTCACAGCAATGACTGGCTTCTTCTTCTTGGAAATCGTGTTAGAACCTACACGTTACCAAAATTGAAGCAATGAGCACTGGTGTTAAAACTGGAACTACACTTCTAGATAGGCACCATATTATAAAAACTAATGTCACTCTAATTTGAAATTATAGCAATCTAAGTAAATTGCTTAACACAAAAATAAAGTGAAATTATAGCAAATAAGACATTGAATGTATATTCTGTGAAATATAGAATAACAATACAAACACAATAAATATCTGCATGTTCACAAATATATATGCAATAACAATAACAATAACAGCAATAAAATCCTAAAATCATTGAGAGCCTAGATGACCGTGAACCACACAGTATATCAAGAAAAAAAATACACACACACACACACACAATCACAGGTGCCTCTTTTTCCTTAGCACAAAAAAGAAATTCTGATACAGAAAAATTTAGATGAGTTCGACAAAGAAAAAAGTGGAATACATCCCAACGTTCAAACACATTTGCTTTAAAAACACTAAAGTTTTGGTTGCAACATCCAGCACCTCAATGGCTGTAATTAAACATGAACAAGATTTCAAGCACCTAAATCAGCCCCAAGCAACTCAATTGCATTAAACAGGAATCAGATTTGGTGGAACCAGATTTCAAGTGCCATCAAGCAACTAAATTGACATCAAGCAACCCAATTGTATTAAAAATGAATCTCTATTTTGTAGAACCAGAATTCAAGTGCCTCAATTGTAATAACTATGAAGAGCAAACAATTTATTTATACCACAAAAGAAATTAGACATCCAGGCAAATGATGAAATACATTCCTAAGCACAATATGCCAAAGTAAAGACCATATTCATACCTCTTGAACCAGCAATAAACAAAGCAGACTGAACAAAGAAAATCATGTACCCAGGATACAATCCCTGCGACACAACAGATACATTTAATTATGTAATGAGGTGATATTCAGATTATTTATTATCTAAAAAAAGGGGGAAAATGAAAGGTCATATGGCTAGTGGACATGTTGCGTCTCAAGGGAAGGGAGAAGTATTATCACCAAAATTGGGGTAACAAAGATGCATTTGCTTTCAGATGGCAATAATACAAAGGATAATGCAATTAGGAAGAAAATGACCTGGGGACTATTATCAAAGAATATAAGCATCAAACACAGGTCATCATAACAGCCCGAGATCAGAGCATCAAAGATATAAAGGAATGTGGAAACACATAGTAAATACAAATATAAATTGAAAACATGCCTTCTTCTCTTTATTGCATTTGACAAAGTTTCCATGATGTTAAACATGGTGATAATCAGGAAGCCAAGAACACAACCAAGACTTTATCCTATTCAATCTCACCCTTGTACATCAGCCCTTTACTTCTATTCTACCCTTTTTTGGTCATGCTCTTCCATAAGCAGCAAGACCACATATTAATTAAATTACTAACATTCCACTGTGGTTTTAGTCCATCTTTTCCTCCAGCCTGCAATTGTCGTCCTATAACTCTTTCCAACATTGCAACTTTTGATTATATGGAAACATCCGGATTTCCATATCAATTTGTTAAGTTAGCTTCCAAAGATAACAACTATATTCTTTTCTTATATCACAATAAAATCAGTAAATAGGACCAAATGGATGGCACCAAAATGTGCTCCATGCAGCTCAAGAAACAGCAACATATTGCATCGACCAATATTCCTGATTCAGGAAAGCCAAGTATATAGCCAAATCATAGAAGATGGCCAACACAAGCAATCAAGTTTTATTTGCCAGTACCCTACAGAATCATGTTGTTGAAATTGTTAGCATGCACAGGTTATCAAAACTAATTAGACCATGCAAGAAAAATAAGCTGCCCTTGTTCGATTCAGCTTTTCTGAAGCTGATTAGAAAAGGTGATCATCCAAAAGGTGAACTCCAAAAATTTGGAATTACGTTTCACTTTTAAAATTTCTCCAACCTAAAAAGCTGTTTTCAAAACTAACTAGAAGACTGCTCCTCATAAATAGCCTTTCTGCATAAAATCGATTTTGTTACTCAGATGCTTTTAGCTTAAAAGAAACTATAATTAGCTGATTTTAAGAAACCAAGAAGAGAGAACCTGTATTTAGCTAATTAATATATATTTTACAATAAGGACCCATGCACCTGTTAGGAACATAAATGTTTAACTTCCATGAATACAACTACTACCAATTCCGATAGTGATATATGATCAGAAATATAATACTAAACTAATGAAACCATGTCTTCTCAAAAGAAAGGAAATGAAAGAAAAAAACTATAGCTCCCATTTTGTAGGGCAGAGCATGTCATACCCTTCGGGGAAAAAAAAAAGAAAAAAAAAGAATCAAGATGACGGGATAAGCTCAGGTTCCTATTACCATGTAGTATACGCTTTGCTTTACTGTAAAAAAAGAAGAAGATGGAAGGATCCTATTCCCTTACGCATTGTCACGGATATAAAAGGTAGCAGCCTCATGATTTTCCAGGTGTTCAGTATCAACCTGCTGGAATATTTCCGGCATTAAAAAAAAAAAGAAATTCGTCAAAACCATGTCCTTTTTCTACTGTTTTGTAACTAAATAAAGTCCAGTTGCCTACTTTGAATCTTTGCTTTATTCAAAGTGTTTTTTCGTATGATAAAATTGTGAGTTGAGTAAACTTGACCTATCGTTTTCTGGAATAAAATCGCTTTTTTGGTTGCTGGAGTCTTTTCGAGTCAATAATATGGATAGGGAAATGCAGCAATGAGCATTGAACGAATGCCCTGTTACGGCCTGCTGTTAGACCACTTGGGCATTTCAACAAACAGTAAACGAACATGAAAAATTCCAGCAATTCTTTGCTCAAATGAAGCCACGGTTGGCCCCAAAATCATCAGAAGTACAAGGGATTTCAAATTCAATCATGATATAAACATGCGCATGCTAAAATTTGAACAATCAACGGGACAATTGCAATAAACGAAGCCATGGCAGACATGCTTAGAGGACTTGGGAAGGAACTGAAATTCAAAGAAAAAGGGGCGACTTATAGTGCTCTTACTTGAGCGGTGGCGACGGCGATTATGACGAAGCTGAAGACGGTGAGTTGGAATTGGAAGATGACTAGGTCTGACTTCCTCCGAGAGCCTTCATCTAGTGTTACAGAGAACGGCAGCAGCCCAGGAGGTTGTGCGCGGTGTTGGCGATGGCAGACAGCAGCAGAGCGGACGCGGACTGGTGGTGACCTTGTTCTTCCTCCTCTGTCCGTTGCCGCGTCTTTCTCTCCTGATCTTCCTGTCAGCCGCCACTCTTCCTTCACTCTGTTTTTTTTCTTTTCACGCTCAAGGCCTCCCTTCCAAGAACCCTAGCTGCTTCACTGCTCTTCTGTTTCTCTTTTTCTCCTCTAAAACCTAGCCGCCCTTTCTCAGGCTTCCCCCTCAGCTTTTCTTGCTCACTTGTGCGCCGCCCTTTTTTTCTCCTCTATTTTGTTCTTTTTTTCTTGTTTTGTTCTTTTCCCTCTGTTTTGTTCTACTGCCAAAGCCCTCCTCTATTTTCCTTCACCTGAGCTGGTGCTAAAGAGCTCGACGCGGTTGCGGGTCAATAGAGGGGAGAAAGGGCTATCGTCAGTGGTGAAGGAAATGCTGAAGAAAAATTATGGTGCTGGATAGCTCGGACTTCAGCGGCTGATGGTGGTGGATTGCGGCGGACTTCAGCGGCTAACGGTGGCTAGCGGCATTTCGAATCTACGGGAAGGAAGGGTTAGTTCACCATAGGAAGGAAAGACTGAGAATGAAATTTGTCTAAGTGTTGGAAGAGAGAAGTGGCGAGACTTTTATTTGTGTGTGAACAACCAAAACGACGTCGTTTTGTAGAGATTTCAGCCACCCGCCTCGCGCCTCTTTCAGATTTCAGACTGGCGCTCTTTTTTTTTTGGCATCTAAGCACGTCTTTGAGATTCCAGGATTCACGCCTTTAGCTTCATACATCTTTTTTCTTTTTTTTTTAGCCAAATTTTTTTTTCAGGTTTCTTTTTTCATACTTAATCTCTTTTTTTTTCCTTAATCTCATCTATAAATATCAAATAAATTATTTGATATTGGTTTCTTTTTTGTGCATGTATATATATGTGTGCTTGTTTGTGTCTATATACATCTTTTTGGGTTTGGACAACTCAATATACAAATTATTTAAGAAATTACTTACAATAAAACTTACACAATAAAACATGTTTCAAAAATTTAACATGCATAGAATCGCTTATATACAGTATAGCACTTCTTACTCATGCTTATCCTACTCTTTGTCTATTACTTAGTTTTTATAATAAATTAAAAGAAACATGTAATCAAATATTCTGTTAAATGTGTGGCAACTCTCAATCTTATTGCACAACAGATATTTTACTGAATAATTTTAATTTCGTATATACCCATTCCATATGAAAATAATTATTACTTATGATGTATTACACGTTATACTAATCTTTCACAGTGCTAACATTAGACTACAAATTATATTCAATTACACTTTTTCAAATTATTTCAGTTATTGATTTTTGGGTGTTGTTATAAGGAATAATAAACAATTCGTGAAAACATTTTTATGCTCAGACATGTCTATTATGTCAACTTAGCAAAAATTACAAATATCTAAAAATAGTTTGTTATTATATCATTTGCATTTTGCTAATACGTAATGAATAGAGGCTAAATTATAAAATTAGGGTGTCATATCTTCGGTGCTTTTGCTCATATAAAAGAATTGGGGGCTAAATAATAAAATTAGGGTGCCATAGTAGAATTAGTGAAATTTGATGAAAATACTATAGAATTGCTTATATACAGTATAGCACTTCTTACTCATGCTATCCTACTCTTTGTCTCTTAGTTTTTATAATAAATTAAAAGAAACATGTAATCAAATATTCTGTTAAATGTGTTACAACTCTCAATCTTATTGCACGACAGATATTTTACTGAATAATTTTAATTTCGTATATACCCATTCCATATGAAAATAATTATTACTTATGATGTATTACACGTTATACTAATTTTTCACAGTGCTAACATTAGACTACAAATTATATTCAATTACACTTTTTCAAATTATTTCAGTTATTGATTTTTGGGGGTTGTTATAAGGAATAATAAACAATTCGTGAAAAATTTTTTATGCTCAGACATGTCTATTATGTCAACTTAGCAAAAATTACAAATATCTAAAAATAGTTTGTTATTATATCATTTGCATTTTGCTAATACGTAATGAATAGGGGCTAAATTATAAAATTAGGGTGTCATATCTTCGGTGCTTTTGCTAATATAAAAGAATTGGGGGCTAAAAAATAAAATTAGGGTGTCATAGTAGAATTAGTGAAAGTTGATGAAAATACTGTAGTATACAGTGATGCAAAAAGTTGTCACAAAATTGGAATCGGGTAGACTTTCAATGACAACAAGTTATGTTGTCACTGTAGAGAGAGCGTTTGTGACGACTTTACTTGAGTTGTCATAAATTCATTTCCCACGGCATCAAATGAGATGCGCGCCAACTATTTCGTGACGAGTTGAGAATGACAACTTCCAATGTTGTCACTGATTATGCTTGTGCTGTACTCATCTGTGATGACACCTAATGTCGTCACTGAATTAGGTTATCTGTGACAAGATTTTTGTTGTCACATAAATTTTTGTCACTGAAAAACATATTTCTTGTAGTGCCTCTTGTTCCCATCATGATTCTGTTGTTTGGTGATTTCTCAAATCATTTTCTTGGTTTTGTTCTTGCTCTAGCTTTTATTTGTTTAAGCTATCATGGGACATCCTTTTTGGTTTTAACCCTTTTGATCATTTTTTTCTCATGGTAGATGGCTACCAAAGCACATAGAAATAAGGTAATTTCTTCCTGACAAAGAAGAAAATAGTTATGGCTTAAGATATGCATGTTAATAATTGTACTTCTTGCTGCAATTTAATTTGTTTTATTGAAGTGTATATAAGGTTCCTAAGCAAGACACAAAGAGCATCATCCAAAAAGCTAATTCTTTTGACTTTTGAATCTTTGAATACCTATGCATCGTGGCAATGGTAAAAACTTGGTTCTAAATTTCTTTTTTGCTTTTCAAAATAGAAGTAAGAAAATTGTGCCCAACATAAAGGTGCAATGGTTTATGTATACGCGGTCTACTATGAGAGATAGGTAGCCAGCTATTTCACACTTTTGGATAACATTTTATAACTCAAGTAAGTGAAATTAAATTCTTGGCTTCTTGTTTTCTTGTTTTCTTAGTTTTGTATCAATAAGTTTGATTATGCCTACATAAGTTTGATTATGCCCACAATGTGCTGCTTGCTTTAGTAAGATGTTGGTGTGCTATGTAAATAAGTTTCTTAATCATTGACTTTAAAAATTTGGCTACTAAGATAAGCACAAAAATTAGGACGAGAAAATTCCTATGGTAGATTTAATATAAATTGGGAACTTAAGTGGCGTGCCACTTTTGCTGTTTCATTGGAGCACAAGGACTTGACAATTTAGGAAGTTGTTTAACTAATTAAATGGCTGAAATGGTTTAAAAAATGTCTTTTTCAAAAAGGTGAAACATATTTAAATTGTAGCACTAAAGAAGTTGTCATTTTCTTTTTATTGATTTTTTTATACAGTATGTATTATACAAAATTTTTTTTTGTCTTTCTTCTTTTCTCGAATTCGATTAAAAACTTACATACAACTCATAAGTAATGACAAAAAGATGCAGAATATTGGCCGACTAATATCTTGTCCTTTTTGGAGGGCACAAGTGGGAATGCAAAATTTGGTTTAAATCCATTTGACAAGTGTGCAGTTTCAAACCTTTAAACATGAGATACACAATTTTTATACTTAGTCTAACTCAGCCAAATAAATAGTTGTGTATCTGCTTGGTGACTTTTAAGTGTAGAGATGTTTTATTACATTTGATGAAACAAGAGTATGAAGCCTCCTTGGTGAGTTCTTACTTTATATTATTTAAATAGTCAAAATTAGTTCAAAAAATAATATTGCAAGTCTTCTATTCTACAAGTTCCTATATTCTTTTCTTTATGTGTCTACGTTTTATGAATTCCAAAGAAATTGAACTTCTTTCGTCTTTTGGTGATTTTAATTCCAAGATTCAAAAACAGTTTTGAACAAGTTTCAACTATTGTAGGAAAACAAGATTAAAGTGATAAAATTTGTTGGGTCGGTGGATGAATATTTTGGCCTCAAATGCCATTTTGAAAGGTATTAATACCTTTCTTTGCTGTTATCATGCGCCCAAAATATTTCCATTATGTATCTATTTCATTTGCTTTATCATATCTCATTTGCTATGTCAATAAGGTTCTAAACTTGAGATAATGACTTGTTTATCTTATCACAGACTGGAAGCATATGCAGCTCTCCACTCCCAATTGTGTCTGAGTCTTGTATCTCTTACTATTTACATTAAAAAAAAAGGAGTCTTCATGGGTGTTAGTAGTTGAGAGAAAAAGGGCATTTCATAGCTTTTTTGTATTTTTATAATTTATACCTTTTGGAACATTAAGAATATTGTACTGATACTGCTTTCTAATGGGAAAATCTGGTGGAGAAAGAAATCCAACAGGTCCTGTAACTTACAATTATACTATTCGTTTTCTTTCTAGATGAGAGTCCATTTTCTTAGTCTGCTAACATGGATGCACTTCACGGTTACAGTATCATCGAAAATTACTTTTACTAATTGCTTTAGAAACTTTTGAATGGATAAATACGATACAGCTTTATCTAATTTTGAATGGATGAATACAATATTTATGATTTAGCTTAATATAATTTGCAACCATTATGTACTTTGTATAACTGGAAAAACCTAAATAATTGGGCAAACTTGAAATTATGTATGATGCATAACTGGGCAAACACGAAAATTTTCACCGCGCATCGCGCGGTGTTCTCCTCCTAGTTGTATTAAATGTAGTTAAGAATTTAACATAAATGTATAAATAAATTTAGTATAAATAATTAATAATTTTTATTAATAGACATGTATAATTAGTAGTATAATTGATAATATATTATATATATAATGATGTACATATATATTTTTTCAAACGGGTGGCGGGGCGGGGGGTAGGGCGGGGGAGTAAACCCCCGCCCCCGCCCCCGCCCCGTTTCTAAACGGGGGGAAAAAATTCCCCCCGTCCCCGTCCCCGCCCCATCCCCCGCCCCAACCCCCGCCCCAATGACCCCCAATCTATCCATAACTTTTCCAACCCCAAACTGTAAAACTCAAAATTCGAACTCTGAACTTGACAGCAGAAAAACTCACGAACCCTCTTTTGGTCACTGGATCGACCCTAATGATTAGTAGATATGGTTTAAATCTCATATTGTAAATAACTTTCCCTGAATATCAATGCCTGAAAAGATATTCATATCACCCTTACGAGAAATTAGAAGTTTGAAAAAAAGTGTAATATAATTTAGAACTAGATTTTAACTCAAACATATAATCAATATTCGTTATACAAATTGCATCTTGGAATGTTGACGTATTTTAAAAATTTATTTAGTTTTTAAATGACAAATTGTCATGTCAAATTGTAATATATTTTGTTATGAAACAATTAAAAGTATGGATGTCCCTTTGTATTCCCAAGAGGATTAATTCTTGATTTATGGTTACATTATGTATAGAAGTTACAATCCATAAATCTATTCATGTAGTGGAAGAATCGTTTCATAGGTTTCTTCATATTCTTGTAATAATGGGTGTTTAATAGGATTGATTGTTCCTTTAATCTTGTAGTACCTATATATAGAGGTACATTGACACCCTTTGGAATGACTTTTGTATCTTATTGGAATATAAGAATATCACTCTCCATTTCTCTACTTCTTTCTCCAATATTTCACTTGATATTATAGTAGCTTATTTTATTAGTTTTATAACACGTTATCAGCACGAGTCTCTACTTCTGAGCAAAGGTGAAACACGAGACTCTGTCAAGATTCTGCTAGTGTCAAATCAACTGTTGGTTTTTTTTCGAGCAACTCTTGACTACCTATTGAGGTAAATCTCTAACTCAAAAACTTATTTCAATTTCTTATGGCTAATATTTGAATTATCGCAAAATACAAGTACCTACTGTTGAACAACCACTAAACACAAACATATATTGTTTGACATCTTTGAGGTAATATTTCTCCTTTTAATTCTACTTGTTTACCTTTATAATTATTCGTTATAAATACTTATATTCTGATGCATTGAGTTTTAGAGATGTTATTATAGAAAATCAATTATATTTGAGGATCTACTTGTCCTTTGAAATATTTAAAGAAAAAAATTCGACCACCTGAAGATGGTCGTTGTTTAACGAAAATATTTGCCACTAGAAGATGGTCATTATTTCAAAAGCCTGGTATGATAAATTTACCTGTGGCTACAAGAACATAATTATGCAATTTTTAGAATTACTTCTCAGTTGAAATTGTGTTGAGAAAATTTTACTTATAAGATATATTAAAAATAATACTCTCCACAATTGATTTCTCGAATATGCTCCTGTAGTATCAATATTAAGAGAAATTTTGAGAAGTATTTTGTACTTATTGCATGCTAGTTCTATTCCATTCCCAGAAGTGAATGCGACTAAATTTCAATTTATTAGTTATGGTTGTTGCCATGACTATGATTTTGGTAAATATATATTTTACCATGACAAGAGAAAAAATTACCACTTGAAGTGAGATAATAATGATAAGGACAAGAAAATAAAGGTCCTAAAGATAAATGTCCTGAAGTACATTTGACAAATCAAAATTATAATCGTATCTTCACATGGCCAATTTCTTTAAACACCCTGAAGGTGTATGATGTTTGATTTAATTTATGATAGTAATTAGCTTTTCTTCCTGAAGAAGAAATGAATGTTAAATATTTGGGATCAAAAAAAAAATTATGGTGATTATATTTGTCCCATAAGAATTATGGTGACAATGATATGTATCTCATTAATAAGTGCTACTATATACACTATATTCCAATGAGAGAGACAAATACAATCAGTTGTAGTGTATAAGTGATTGAAAGCTCCAGAAGAGCCACTACTATATTTCTCCCTGTAAGAGAAAAGTTTGTTATGAATAAAGTACTATTTTTTATCATGTCTCGAAAAATTTATTGAATTTGAATATCCGTTGAAATGGATATCAAATTGAGATATTAAATGAGACAATAATAGAGATCATGTTTAGAAATCAAATGAGATAAATGTTAATTATATCATAATAACCATTCGAGAGAGAAATGGTTATCGATATAGTTGTCTTCATTCTCATTTGATTTATAATTATCACCTGCAGTAAACCAGAAGTTTACTGATCCCAATGAATACATGATTTAACGAAAGTGAAAATATTTGAGAGCCGACAAATGTTTATACATACCCCCTTTATATTATATATGGCTCCAAAAAGAAATTTAGAATTTATGTCGGGTATGAATCACTTTTTACGATTAAATATCATAAAATATTTGATGGGTGATCTATTAAATGATTTATTTATTCTGATGAGTTACGATTCCCGACATTAGGGGGAGGAAGAAATCAATCGAAAGGAAATCATCTGAAAAAAATTAGATTTCCTCGATCCTCATACAAAATAACGTGAACTGGAAGTTCAAGAAATTATTCATTTGCTGAAAACTGCAAATCAATTGCCAGATATATTTATCGACTCCAGATGAGCCATTAAATCAACTATTCCTGCAGGGAATACTCTGGTTAAAATTGATGTCCCTGAAGGACATGTACAAGTGTTACAAATAAATTTAAGGCCGGCCTATCTAAATAAGGTATAAATTGATTTCAAATAACTCCGGAGATTAAATAAATGTCATGATAAAATTCAACCTCTTGAAGAGGTTGCTCCTGAAGAGCCAACTCCTGAAGAGAATGAAATCATAGAAAATTTAATTGGAGCCTAATGAAATGTAGCACTTGATATTATAGAAGTTGATGAGGATCATGAATCTAAATCGGTTGATGAATGTCGGTATAGAAATGATTGTTCAAAGTGGAAAGATACAATCCAATCTGAATTGGATTTATTGGTTAAAAGAAAAAGTTTTTGGACCTGTAGTCCAAACACTTGAAGGTGTAAAACTAATAGAATATAAATGGGTATTTGTGATAAAGAGAAATAAGAAAAAGGAAATTGTGAGGTATAAAGCAAAACTTGTAGTCCAAGGATTTTCACAAAGGCCTGGATTTAATTATGATGAAATGTATTCACCTGTAGTGGATGCTATCACATTTAGATATCTTGTGAGTTTTGCAGTAAATGAAAAATTAGATATGCGTCTAATGGACGTCGTTACTGCATATTTATATGGAAATCTTGAAAATGATATTTATATGAGAATCCCCGAAGGATTTAACATGCCTGAAGCATACAAATCAAATTCTAAAAATATTTATTCTATTAAACTACAAAGGTCTCTGTATGGGCTCAAACAATTTGGACGTATGTGGTATAATCGCCTCAATGAATGTCTGACTAAAGAAGGTTATACCAATGATCCAATATGTCCATATGTTTTTACCAAGAAAAATGGATCAAATTTTGTGATCATTGTTATATATATCTTGATGATCTAAATTTGATTGGAACTCCTGAAGAGAATCAAAATAATGTTGAATATTTGAAGAAGGAATTTGATATCAAAGATTTTGGAAAAATAAAATTCCTTGGTTTACAAATTGAACATTTGAAGAGTGGAATTTTTGTTCACCAAACTGCATATACCCGGAAGGTATTAAAGCGTTTTTATATGGATAAGGCACATATATTAAGTACTCCAATGGTTGTCAGATCATTAGATCCTAATAAAGATCCTTTTAGATCGTGAGAGAAAGATGAAGAGATATTTGGTCCTGAAGTACCATATCTCAGTACAATTGGCGAAGAATATTGGAATGCGACGATTAAAAGATCTCAAATGATGTTTGCATCAGGGGGAGAAATTAATACACAAGAATAGTGTACTCTTTTTCCTTCACTAGGGTTTTTGTCCCGATGGATTTTTCCCTAGTAAGGTTTTAACGAGGCATATTCTTTGTGTAATGGACATCCAAGGGGGAGTGTTATGAAACAATTAAAAGTATGGATGTCCCTTTGTATTCCCAAGAGGATTAATTCTTGATTTATGGTTACATTATGTATAGAAGTTACAATCCATAAATCTATTCATGTAGTGGAAGAACCGTTTCATAGGTTTCTTCATATTCTTGTAATAGTGGGTGTTTAATAGGATTGATTGTTCCTTTAATCTTGTAGTACCTATATATAGAGGTACATTGACACCCTTTGGAATGACTTTTGTATCTTATTGGAATATAAGAATATCACTCTCCATTTCTCTACTTCTTTCTCCAATATTTCACTTGATATTATAGTAGCTTATTTTATTAGTTTTATAACATATTTAAGTTATTAGAGAAATTTTCCTTTAAAAATTAGAAACTATAATAGAATTTAGAATTAGTTAAAATAGAAGATGGTTGTAATTTACAAAGCTAATTAAAGCCCAAATTCTAAGGTTCTGATGAAAAGTTCAATGTCATTCTCCAGGGTTTTAGTGGAACAAATTGTCAC